GCCCTGGGGCATCGCTGTGCCATCCCCATCCCAACCTGAGGGGAACTAGGGGGCTGGGGGGTGACAGGGGAGTGGGGGGAGCCATCCCCACTGTGGGGCACGGGGTCTCATGTAACCCTGAGGAACTGGGAGCCACCACCCACTTGCGGCATGTGCAAGGAATGCTTCTGCCAGGCTGAGACCCCACAAACTCGACTTAGGGGGAGCAGCTGGAGGGGGCTGCCCTGTCCCTTGGGTGGGAGGGTCATGGGGGGTTGCGGGGGGGCTGGGGAAGGGTCCCTTCAGCCCTGTGCTGATGGATCTCACCCCTTTTGCAGCCGAAGGCTTCCCCCAAGGGACGCCACAGGCAGGATGGACGAACAGAAGCCGCCTAGTGAGGAGAAGAACACGGATGCACCAGGTGAGCGTGGGGTAGGGCAGGGTGCTGGGGAGCGGGCTGGTGCTGTCCCCCCTGCCCTGGCGTGCTGGCTGCTTCTCCCTCTCTGAGGTGGCTGATACCCACTCTCCTAGCAGCCAAAGGGGCTGTGGCTTCGGAGGAGATGGGCAGCGCGGAGGGGGACCCCCTGAAACCTCCTGAAGGAGCCTCCGCGGGGCCAGAGCCAGGGAGCACGGACACGAAGGCACTTCCCCAGGCCAGCAGGTGAGGATGGGGGTGCTTGGGAGGTGGAGTGGACCTGGTGGGGGGGTCCTGTATGTCCCTGACACCCCCTTTTCCCTGTAGCACACCGGCACACCGCTGTGCTCTCTGCAACTGTGGGGACTGGAGCCCGCACGGGCAGCAGGAGCTGCAACGCTTTGAGCCAGCGCCCAACTGGCCTGAGCGGCTGGTGGGCTACGAGCCCCGTGAGGGTCCTGGCCAGTCCCCCTTAGAGCTGGAAGTGATAGGGGATGACCTGGCACAGATCGGCTTCTCCGAGCAGGTGACTCTGGTGCAGCTCTTTGAGCCGACGGGTGAGTGTGGTCGCAGCATTGGGGTTCCTATCCCACTCTCTTGGGTGTCCTACCTGGCTTGGGGACCCTGCCTTGTCTCTGATACCCCCTCCCCACAGGGCACTGCTGGGTCCACCGCTGGTGCGCAGCCTGGTCTGCTGGTGTGGAGCAGGAGGCAGTGGGGCTGGCTGGCGTAGACAGAGCTGTTTTCTCAGGGATCTCACAGGTGAGCGGGTCGCAGGGGGTGGTGGGACCTCAGCCTGGCCCCGGGCAGCATCTCCCACCCCACAGGGCTCCTCTGCCTTCAGAAATGTGAACACTGTCACAGGAAGGGGGGCCGCGGTGTGCATGGCGCCCCCCACTTCTACCCCTTCCCCTGCGCTGCTGCCAGCGGCTGCTTCCAGTCCATGAAGACCCTCCGGCTCTTCTGTCCTGAGCACATGGCTGAGGCCATGCAGATGGGTGCGTGCAGGCTGGAGCCACCAGCTTTGGGTGCTGGATCCCCCCTCGCCCTGAAGGGGGAGGTCCCAGGTGGGCAGAACGTGGTGAGGGGGTGACCCTAACAACCCCTCTCTCTCCCCCCATCCAGATGATGCCCAGTGCTCAGTGTGTGACAGGCCAGGTGACATGCGGGACCTGATTTTCTGCACCAGTTGTGGGCAGCACTACCACGGGGCCTGCCTGGACATCAGCCTGACACCCCGCAAGCGCTCAGGCTGGCAGTGCCCTGAGTGCAAAGTGTGCCAAACCTGCAGGTGAGCCCACATCCCTGTGGCAAGGGGGATAATGAGGGGTGCATGGGAGGGGGACACAGCCCTCACCCCTGCCCCTGGCACCCCACAGGCAACCCGGTGAGGACTCCATGATGCTGGTCTGTGAGGCTTGCGACAAGGGCTATCACACCTTCTGCATGGAGCCGGCCATTGAGGGCCTCCCTGCCGACTCCTGGAAGTGCAAGGTGCGTCCTGCTCTTGTTGAGGGGGTTACAGGGGTGCCTACCCCCTGCCTCCGCCCACCCCTGACCTGTCTCTGCCTCCTCCCCAGAACTGTCGGGTCTGCTTGGACTGTGGCCGGCGACCGGCAGGGCTTGACCCGGGTTGCCAGTGGTACCAGGGCTACTCGGTGTGCGAGGGCTGCCAGCAGCGCCGCACCACAGAGGACACCCACGGAGCACCAGCGCACGTGCCGCAGCTGGACCCACCCACCCAGACG